CCTATTATGTATTATAGTAAATGACACTGTCTCATGAATTGGTCTAGAATGAAATAGTTTTATTGCAAGTTTGATGAAAAACATAATTTTTCAATCTGAACTGTCACACACACAAAAAACCCCCCACAAAGACAAATGTGTTGTCACTATAAAAGATGGTCAGCTGCTGAACTGAGAAACTCCCAATGACCATGAGATAGTGACTTCCTAACCACCAACCTATACCTCCAACTCCCAACAAGAACTTGAGGCCCATTCGAGAAGAAAACTGGGAAGAGCATGGGACCAGTGATCTCTCATATTCTATACAAATGTTCTTTCCCCTGGACACATTATGGTGGGTTTTTACTGTGTTTTCATAAGACCTTGTGTTGGGCATCTTTATCAGTTTTTCCCGCTAGTGTTTTCTGATGTTGCTTCCTGGTTTAGTATTTACTGTGTTATTTTCTCTCATAGTAGATGCACAGAGCCTGCTGGTTTTCCCTTAGTGTCCCTTCTCTCTGTCCCTTATAGAGATGGAAATTTAGCTGAGCACTTGCCCATCCAAGCAAAAAATGATGTTTCTGAGCTGTGCTGCAGTGAGGTGTGACATGTGGGCCATATGCAGAAGGAATGTGCACATCTTCTTGGTGTGTCCTCAAAAACACCTTTTCCCACTGGCTGAAATGAGACATGGTAATGCATCATTTTTAGCCATGAAGATGCCTTGAGGAGGGTAGAATCCTCAGGTAGAAGGGGCCTGTGCCCTTCCAGCTTCAGGAGGACAGCCACCACACCCACATGGACTATCACAGGAGACAGAAACAGCCCTGTGCCTGCTGAAGCCAATGTTGGTTTTGAGCCTCTTTACATCAACTAAGCTTTTTTCTAACTAATTCAGAACTTGATACCTGGGAGCAGGCTGGTACCAAAATAGAACCTAATACATGTGGAGTTGGCTTAATGATCAGCCAGTCAGGACAGAGATTTTACAGGTGGAAAGCTGGTGACCCTTGCTATGCATGAAAAAGCGTTTGGTATGACTCTTGCTTGTGGTGTATTAGGAGTAGATTGCATGTGACTAAAACTATAGCCCTAGAGGAAATGGTTAAAAATAGTTCAGAATGTTGGCGAGTGTTGGTTACTTCTTGCCACTTTCAGCAAAGCTCACCTAGAGAGACTTAGGCTAGAGGAAGGCAGATGGAGGAGAGGACAGCTGGACAAGGGGGTTTCCCTCTGCCTGTGGCCTGCGATCTGTGAGTCTGTTAAGAAGGCCCCACAAGGCTGAAAATGCCGTCCTCTTCTGAACCCCACATGAAGCTTTGAGAAAGCAAGGCTCTTAAGAGGCAGCCAAGTCTGTGCCCCACATTCCTCTCAAATACTCTTAGCCATATGACAGGGGTCAGTCCAGCATTAAACCAAGTGCTAGCCCTTCTAAGCACAGAACCCTTGTGACCTCACAGATCCAAAGGACATGAAGACAGCCCAGCCCATAGAGAGTAGGCCTGTGTCTCATTTGTGGAAGGTCATTCTGTAAATATTTGAGGGATATATGGTGGTGCAAGTGGACTCAAGGTAGTCACCTTGAGCTGGAGAGAGAGAAAGGAGAATGGTGAGCACATAGAGGCCAACCAATAAAAAAGTGTCCTCAGACTTAAACCCATGACTAGATGGGGCCTTTCCATATGGAGCTGAATGGAAGTGTGTATGTAAGAAACTGACCCAGGGACACAGCTATCAATCAGGAAGCCCCTGCAGAGCCAGGCAGCAGCAGCTAGGGTAGCCTCTCACATTCCTTTGCAGTTGGGCATGCGTATTATGGACAAGGACACACACACACTCACACACACACACACACACACACACACACACACACACACACACACACACCACCGCCTCAGAGAGCCAAGTCAGACCTGATGTGGCCCAGGGCCAAGGGAGCTCCTGCCAGATCTGTGTCTGGGTACCAGGTTGCTATCCCAGAGCTGCCTTCCCTGCAAGGGACAGGGTCTCCAGCATTCATGCAGAGATGCCCATGGGAGGATTCTGCAGACCCTGCACAGAGATGACTGCAAAGCTTGCTTACAAGTGTGTGAAAACTTTTCATTCAAATACCACACCGTTTTATTTAAATAACCACATGTCAGACTTACCTTTGGGCCCTGCCAAGCAGAGTTTGAATGCTGCTGTATGTTTCCCATTCTCCTTCTCCAACCTCTAGGTTGGGTGTGTGTGGGCACACGACCTGCCCTCCAGTGATAGGACCTGATGGAGAGTCTGCACCTTGTCCAGAGGGACTGGACTGAGCTGCATTCAGGACTGGACAGGACTTTGGCTTGTTCCTCCTGACCAGGGCTTGCATCCTGGTGCAGCAGGTGACCATATAGAAAGACTGGGCAAACAGAGCTCATTATTCCTATTACTTATTCTCCTCTTCTCCTTCAAGGCAGCTGATGGACATCCTCAGTTGGGGAGGATTTGGGTCCCCAGTCACTGCCTAGGGAACCTGCCATACAAATTTGTGATTTTACATGAGAGAAAAATATTTGAATCTCAAGTGCTAATACTAGTGATATCCAGGCTTCTAACTTCTCCAGCCCAGTAGTGTGAAGTATTAGCTCACTGACATTTAATTTGCCTTTCTCTGATCGTTAATCAGCAGAGCATCTCTTTCACCCCAGGGTCTCAACAATATTTCCTGTGTATTTTTCCTGCTAACCTCATTTCTGTTCCTATCAGGTCTTTGGTTCATTTAGAGACTACCATTGTGTGTGTTAAGTAGAGATCTGGTTCTGTTTTTCTCTTTGAGTGAGCTCACTTTCTCAATACTTCTACCAAAGAATCTACTCTTTTGCCATTGGTTGTTGTGCCACGTTTATCATCTGTTGAATTTCTGCCTCCACAAAAGTCTGACACTGATCTCTCTGCTGTCCCGCTTCGCTGTCAGTCGATTCTTCTGTCAAGAGTAATAGCATACCCTCCCTTTCCCTTTTTAGGTTGGTTTGGCTATTCAACGACTTTTCTTTTTCCACACACATTTTGAGTTTCCTCCTAACCAAGTAGAACTTTGACTAGATTGCAGTGAATTTATAGGTTATATTGGGGGGAAATTTACATCTTTGATATATTAAGTTGCCTAATCCAAAAGCAAGAGATATCTCTCCATTTACTAAGATCATCTTCTGCGTCCTTTACTAGAGTTTCAGAGTGCTCCACAGAGGTCTTGAGTGCTCTTTATTAATTACCCAGCATTTTGTAGTTTTTGTTGCTATCATGGAGTACATTTCATTTTTTGTTACATTATCTTGTTGGTTATTGCTTGTGCAGAGAAATGTATTTTTTTCCTGACTTCTGAATATACACCCTTTTGTCTTCTTTAATAATGAAAAAGTATTTAAGGCAATATATTTATACTGTTGATGCAATATTAACAAAACTTATAGAGTCTCTTAAAGAGAGTTTATTTGAGCCCAAGTTAGTACAGCTTCCCCCATACAGAATATCCATAAAGAAGAGAATGCTCTGTCCCACATCCGGTGGAAACTACTTAAAGCAACAACAGAAACAACAAAGAAGAGAGTGGGGGAGGGGGAGGAACATTGGTTGCAGGGTTATATACTTTTTTTTACGTAAGAAGTTACTAATCACTAGAAGACATTTCAGAGAGTTACAGCGGTTTTCTTGAGTTTTGAGTACATGCAGAGCTGTAGGACCTTAATCTCACGGGAACCAGGGAGGTTTTTGTTTTTGTTTTACTCTTCTCTTTATGTATGGAATGCTCCCTTTTAGGTTATTTATAAATGAAGCAGGTGTTACAGGGTTGCAGAGTTCTTGTCTCAAGGAGTTGAAGAATGAATCTTGCACAAAAGGGTGAAGTCATAGCTTTTTAGTGAAGGTGAGAACAGAAAGAAAGCTCTCTAGAGAGGTCCCCAACGGGTTGCCACTGAGGGCTTTTATGGTCTTTTATAGAAAACTGACCAAGGAACTTGAATCTTCTTGATGTCACCACTGATAGCACCATGATTACTTCTCCTTTGAGTATCTCCTCTCTGGTGTTTAAGACAAACCAGATGGTCTAGTTACGTTCCCTTACCTCTGGTTTCTTTATGCCTCAGCATTTCTAGAATTTTTGGTAAGCCTGATCACATAGCCCCCTACCTATCTCTCCCTACCTAGCCCCGCCTGTCCCTTACTGACAGATATGTAGTGTGCTCCGAGTAGAAACTGAACCCATGCTTTTACGTTTTGATGACTCTGATAAATGTTACAGTATAGCTTCCCCGAGAGCCCATGCAGGGCCCACAAACATTAGAAGTTGAAATTTTCCTTTATTTTATGAATACATTATATATTTTTCTCTGAAAAACATTCAGTGAATTTTATATATTTTACTTTATACTGGGTTCCATAGGTGTGAGAATGCTTTCGATTGCTTTATAAATAGTCTGTAATTTTCCACCTACTATCATGTTGATTAAAAGGTTATGTAGACAGTGTTTCGTAAATTCCAATACTTAAGGGGTTTTTGTCAACTTTTTATTATATATTTCTAATTTGGATAATCTTCCTGTCAAATGCATCTTAAAACATTCGCATTCCTTATATCTAAGTGTATAATCAGTTTCGGTAAATGTTCCATGAGCAATCCCACGAAATGTGTATTTCCTATTTAAGGAATTTGAGTTTTTCCATCCGTCTGCCGAATCATTTACTGATGGAGGGATTCAGTTCTCCCACGTGAGCCCTCACGTTTCCATCAAGCTGCAGTCCGTTCCGATTCCAGGAACGGTGTACACAAGTCCCACTACAGCGGCATTTCTCGTTTTCCTGCATTTCTAACCCCGGCCTTTTCACATCTAGTCACCAGCGCGCTGCGGCCTCGCTTAGGTCCGCGGAGCTCCGGCTCCGCGCCCCCAGGAGCGGGGAACCCCAAGTCGCCGGGCCTCCGCCGCCTAGAGCGGCGACGCTGGCCCGGAAGTCGGGGGAGGGTCGGGGGAGGGATTTCCGGGGCCCGTCTCTGGGCAGCGCCGCGGTAGTCCTGCGGCGTCGCGCGGCGGCCGGAGCGACCCCCGGGAGGGAAGGAGAACGCGCCGGTGAAGCCTCGGCGTTGTGGAGCGCGCTCCCGCGTGACTCCGAAGACCCCGCGGTGGGTGCCGGCCTCCAGGGGTCTAGGCAGGGCGTCGTGCTCAGAGGCGCTGGGGCTGCTCGGCCTGGGCGGGGTTGGGGGCCTCGGAGGGCGCCTCCGGGAGCGGGCGCAGGGGCATCACCCGGAGAGCGCCCGGGACGGCGGATCCTGACTCGCCCTGGAGCCTGGCCGCGGGACCGCGTGGCGACGGGGCAGGTGTGCGGTGAGTGGTGTCTGGCGCGTGGGGGTCGGCGTGGAGGAGGGGCCTCAGGACTTGGGTGCGAACCTCAGAGCTGTACTGAGCTGTGTGAGGAGTGAGGTGGTCGTTCCGCGCCAGGTGTCCTGCCTGGACGCCCCGGCTGGTGCAGCCACCCTCCAGGTGGCGAAGAGGCTCTGGGGACAGGGAGGAGTTTATTCTCCCCCGTGTGAGCGGAGCTGAGGGGTGAGCCATGCCCACCCCGTGGATGCCTGCAGGGGGCTGGTGTCTCTGC